CCCCCCGACACCGCATTTCATCTTGTAATAGCTTTCATCATCATTAATACAATCATCAGCTTTCATCATCAGTTGCTCATTTTTCCGCTGCTCAATTGCTCACGACATTGGCTTTCCCGTACGGCACTGACAATCTAGTCTAGCGTACGGCGAGGGCCTCAGTTGGCGCATAGCAACCGCACTGACATCGGTTGCTTAGCCTTACGTCGCCCTTCCAAGGAACTTCAGGAAGGCGCCGCGTAACAGTATACTTGTTGACTTTCTCTAGCGCTGTGCTTATCGGCTTATCAACCGCCTCTACCGCGATAGAGTCGGGTAATTAATACTATGTGTTTCACCTAATTAGCTTTAATCAACCTTCTCCAATGGATACACAAGGTGCTGGAACTTCCATAAAGAGACAACGTGTTGATACACAAGTGAGATCGGCAGACGATACTGTCGAATACTTTCAGCGAGTCCCACAGAGGTTGTCTATAACGATCCCTCCAGCGTTTATGCAGAGCTTGCGTGATGCTAACGTTCTTGGATTTCGAAAGCCTTATGGACGTTGATTGTAAGTTGATTCTTCTTTAATGTGATCCACATTCACTCAAAGCCAATTTCTTATTTTACCTCTTTAATCAATAGATAATGATTTTACATAAGACTTGAGCTTTCATTGTCTTTATGACACCTATGTCTCAAAGTAAAGATAACTTACACGTATTGCACTTTAATGCCCCATTAGCTAGTTGATATACGCTTATTTAAAGAGACTATGTTAGGTCCTTATCCTTGGCTATTTCATAAGACTGCACTATCTTAAGTGAGTTGCTAAAGTATAGAAATACCTATACGCAGAGAAAACAAGTTCAAATGTAAATAATTAGAGGTTCATATCTAATTCCGAATTATTTTCTATTTGGTATGATGAAGACATGAGTTGGGCTTAAATGGAAAACATGGCAGTGATGCCTAGTAGTAGTAGTAGCTGTTGTTATTTGATTTATAAAGCATCCATGTTGGTTAAACGCTTAAGTCCTGAAGCTAGTGAAGCCCAGGTTGTGTGCTTCGCCTCGCTTTGTTGGCTCATTAGTGTAGGGGCCAAGGTGCTAACTGCGCTTCACCAGTGAAGCTAGCATGCTAAGTCATGCACATCTTCATCGATGGGTTCAGTCTTTGCGCTTCACCAGTGAAGCTAGCATGCTAAGTCATGCACATCTTCATCGATGGGTTCAGTCTTTGCGCTTCACCAGTGAAGCTAGCATGCTAAGTCATGCACATCTTCATCGATGGGTTCAGTCTTTGCGCTTCACCAGTGAAGCTAGCATGCTAAGTCATGCACATCTTCATCGATGGGTTCAGTCTTTAAGAGTACAAGACTAGACTATATATAGTTGTCAAAGTGCATTTGTTGTTAAGAAAATATCATGACTGAACTTCTAGTCATTAAGATAAAGAAATTGGAGATTTGGTATACGAGAACTAGCCACTGCAAACCTGTAACGACGTTTTTCAACTACATCAAAATTTTAAAATGGTCCTTGAACTTGATTGATATGATTTTAATTGCATCTATATAGTTTAATGATAGTTCTTCCGTTCTTTTTGTCCAAATAATTATTGTTTGTCTAAAGGTACGTTTCCTTGTATTACATTTTACTGGCGCTTTTTTCTACTATAGCTCACGCTTTAACTGTGCTTTGCACTTAAATCTTCAACGGACTTTGGCACTTTGCTGCGGTTGTTGCTTTGTACTACTCTGTAAAGCATGTTTGTTTTATGTAAATATCATTTTGAGTTTTCTAATAGTATTGATGATTGCAGATGCTGAAGCTGCGGATCACGCTACTGTAACGGCTGACGTGTGTATGTCCGCGCTCTATGCAAAGCTGCGTAACATTCACCGCACCTTCGGAACTTATTCCAACAGGTATACAAATTCTGCTCGATACACAAAGAATATTGAGTTGCCCGTCCCTTTTGCTGAGGCGATCTCTAACATTGGTGTGTTCAATATTGAGATGACTGTGAACATTAAGACCATTGTGCCAACATATCCCGAGGGAACTGAGAATGAAGGTTGCTCCTGCGAGGAATTCCCTATCGCACGCTATTGCGGCATCCTTCCTCACATGAAGAATGCTGGAATTCCTCTCAAGTCCATTGATATCCACGATACAACTGGTACTGCTTGGTGGACTTTCAAAGTTAAGCATGATGGTAATCGATATGCCTTTGCTGGAATATTTCCTCCTGTTCTATACTCCAATCTGTCATGCCATATCGCACAGATGTTTATTGTGACTGATTGTCACGGCACATTCAGCCCCATTGTCACTCACCAGGCTGAAGATTCGCCATATCAGACGAGGTTGGTTTGATATCGGAGATGATGCTCCATTCCGGGCATTTGCTGCACTATGTGGAGGTCCAAGTGAAGAATGGAATGAATTTGCTAATATTCATTATCCCTGAGATGTTAGGCCTTTGTTTTACCAAACGTTCGCTGATGGCTTGCTGTATTTGTCAGTACTACCCAGTTAAGACGAGGTTGGTGTTTTACAAAACCTACTTTTGTGATGCTTATTTACCTAAAGTATGCATTTCCCTCTTTTTGTGCATCGTGTAATGAAATGATTTTATGGGCTGTGCGTTTCACTATCAACCTTCAAAGTTTTCCAACCTTTGAGTTGACAGGACACTACACCACCAACCAAATGGGGGGGGGGGGGGGGGGGGCGAGATTATATTTCAAAGAATGAACAATTTAAAGATCTTTTACTGTCCTATTAATAATTTTAAAACATCATAGATGGATTGGAATTTAACAGATTTTTAACTAATTCCTGGAAGATTCTTTATTCTTCGAGTTGAATTAGACAGAAGGGCCAAGTTGGTCATGTTTCACTTCTCTAAAGTTATAATCTATAACTATAAAACCAAGAGAACTTGGTTGTCAGTAAATTCAGCCTGTCATCATGCTCATCATAATGAGAAGTTGTTAGTGAAAATGGAGGAGAATTTGAAGCTGAGTGACAAATAAGATGCTGCAGAGATGATTATTAAGACACTCTCCGGATGTTGGAGCTAATTGATGTTGAAGATTTTATGGAATGATTTGCCTGATGAAAATGTTAAATAGTTCTGATCTTGTGACACTTTCACATCCAAAGAAGAGGCGATGAGATACATTGCTGATGTTGCTATACCACATCCATGTTCCAAACAATTCACTTAAACAGCAAGCTAATTGGTTCTATTTCTGTATCCCCTTTTCATGGAAGTAATAAGTGCAGCGGAGAACATGGTTATGATTTAGAGGTATTGGGGCAAAGGGATAGCAACCAAGGCGGTGAACCTGGCGGCTGCCACCATATTCAAGTGGCCACGCTTGGAGAGATTGGAAGCGGTGGTGGATGTTGATAATTTAGGATGACAGAGGGTGTTGGAGAAGGCTGGCTTTACGAAGAAAGGTGTTTCGAGGAAGTATTATCTTACAGGAAACCAAGAGATATTGTTATGTTTGGTCTTTTATCCACTGATCCACAAGTCTCTTACTTTATGTAATAGGTTAGAAAATCTTTAACTAGTTTGTAACTTCCAGCATCACCAAATAGGGAAAATCATTCAACGGAATTGGAATAGCCATCTTTGTAGCCTAGGAACAATTCCTTGTACCCTGTATTCTTCACCAACTTCTTGGATATATTTTGATGCCGCTTCCTTTGAGATGATTCTGTTCCATCTTAGATAATGATTACTTTATCGTCGCTACGCTATATCAAGAGGTCATCAGGATTTCTAGTTTTAGATATGATCCTTTATTTACTCTCTTATTGTATTTGTAAGTCGTAGTTGAGTAAGTTCTTGACCATATCAGAAGGCATGCGATCTTGTGGCAAGTATGAGCCACCTCTCTTTTTTAAATATCATTGTGATAATGTGGAAAAGTACAGATATGGCCGGATGTTCTAGATAACCTGATCTTAATAAATTTCCCATGTTAGAGACTAGAATATGGCTGGATATGATGAAATAATGTGTATGTATATAGTATCGAGCACCGTAAATACTTATTTTAGCTTGTTACTAAGGTAAAAGGAGAGAACTCTTACTTCAACTTGGTGATACTAGCAGCATCATGTCCTACTTTCAATGCTTTTCTTGCATTTAGGTTCAAATTGTTTGCTACTTTATCCTTGTGCTTTCTAGCTTTCTATTGTTCAGTGTTCAGTATTCAGTATTTCAGCTCATAATCATGTATGGAGAGTGCACATTATTGATACTTTCTACTACTTGGATATGATGAAGAGGTGTGTTAGATACTCTTAATATCACTTAAAAGCACGAAAGAAAAATGGCTCTCAGAGACATACCCTCCAAAAAAATTTGTTTTCATATCTTAAAGTGGACGGCGTAAAGATTTTGTGAGATTTCAAACATGAACTATTTAAAGACCATGTAAGGTAAAGTTTAAGAATTTTCAAACATCATGGAATTATTGGAATCTAATAGATGTTGAACTGAAAACAACATCCTAATTAATTGTTTAGTACTTTACGATGAATTTTGTAAGAGTTAAGTGAGGTGGCTAAGAAAGTTGCCGCTCTTTTCTGTTGTTTGCAAATGATCTGGGATATAGTTTCATTCCTTGGTGACGAGTTATAAGAACAGTAAAGACCTAGTAATTTCCTTGAAACCTTCTTTATTCCTTATGATAGACTTATATAAAGGGCCAGCTTGGTCATGTTTCACTTCTCTAAAACTATAATATTTAACCTATAAAACCAAGAAAAATTGGATTTTGAGGCTATGGAATCTGATTAATCTTGCGATCTCACTCATCATAATGAAAAGTTGTCAGTGAAAGTGGAGAAGCTGAAGTTGAGTGACCATAAATGAATATGCTGTTGCAAATGATTGTTCAGACATAACTCTCGTCTCTTGGACCTCACAGATGTTGATGATATATGCAATGCTTTGCAGATGACAACGTTAATAAGTTCTGTTCTCATGACACTTTCACATCCAAAGAAGACGCGATGAGATACATTGCTGATGTTGTTATGCCACATCCATGGTTCCTAGCAATTTGCTTAAATGGTAAGCCAATTGGTTCTATTTTTGTATCACCATTCATGGAAGTAATAGGTGGTGAAGATGGTGGCAGCTGTCATATTTGTGGAGTGGCCACACTCAGAGAGAGAGACTTGCAGCTGTGGTAAATGTTACGTTGATGATCCAGGATCAGAGAGGGTGTTGGAGAAGGCTGGCTGTAGGAAGGAAAGTGTTTGAGGAAGTATTATCTTCTTAAAGGGAAACCGAGAGACATTGTTATGTTAGTCTTTTATCCACTGATCCACAAGTCACTTACTCATGTAATTGGTTAGAAAATCTTTAATTTATTGGTAACTTCCAGCCTTACCAAAAGATCATCAACATCCTGAGAGGTATCGTTACGAGTTCATTTTTAGGACTGGTTCTTGCTGTGATCTCCTCTGTTGACTCTGCTGTTAGATTTGTAAGTTTAGTTGAGTGAGTTTTTGACCATATCAGAAGGCATACGATCCTGTAGACAAGTATGATCCGTCGCTCTTTTGTAAATGTCGGTCATTATTGTGGAAAACTATGAGTATGGCTGGATGTTCTCTAGGAGAAGCGCTTCTGTTTAGATTAGTTTCTCCTTAAAAGATAAGGCTAGAAGCAAGGCCATAACTTAGAAGTTAGAACTATATCCTACGTCTGTTATTGCATTTAAAGCTCAACTAGATTTCTTAGTTTATCCTTGTGGGTTTCTAGCTTCCTATCATTCAGTTTTTGGTCATTCAGTTCAACTAGTCATGTTTAGAGAAATCACAATTTTCTTATTTACTAGGTGGAAATGATGAAGATGTGTCTGTTACTTCTGAATTCTTTTACCACCTAAATGATGGGGGAAAAAGGCTCTCAAAGATATATCGTTCTTGTTATGAATACTATTATTTATAGATGTCCATTCATTGTGTAGTTAGGTCTAGCAAAGAAAATTTTTTGAGAAGAAAAGAAATTATCTGATAGCTCGAATTCTTGTCCAAAAAGTTAGCACCCTTGTCGTTGGGAACGGAGTTATCTTCTCCTACAAATAGGAGACTCCTTTTCTCTTTTCTACTCCCTCCCTTAATATTTAGGTAAGGGTATCTCACTTGACACGAAGTTTAAAAAATAAATAAAGACTTTTGAATTTATGGTCTAAAATAAATCATAAAAATTTATGTGACTATAAATTATCTTTTTAACGGTAAAATAAGAAATTAAAATTAAATTGTCACTAAATATAGAAACTGTGTTATTATTTTTTGGACCGATTAAAAAAAGACTTACATAAATTGGGAGTGAACTGAGTATTATTTTATAACACTTCTTTGTTTTCAGATTTTGGAGGGGGCTGTGTAAGATTTTCTAAATAGATTTCAAACAAAGAACTATTTGAAGAACTTTTAGTGTAATGTTTAAAACATTGCAAGCATCATGGAGTTACTGGAATATCAATGATATTGAACTGAAAATAGCATCCTAATTAATTTACTACTTATGATGAATTCACCAAGAAAAGTTGGATTGTATCAAGTGAGGCGGCTAAGAAAGTCTATGCTCACCTTTTTTGTCCGCACACGACCAGTAATAGTTCCATTCCTTAGCGACCAAGTAATAAGAGCTGTAAATTACCTAGTTGACTCCGGTTAGTAGACCTAAGAAATTTCCTAAAAAATTCTTTATTCTTCACTTTTTGAATTATATAAAGGGCCAGCTTGGTCATGTTTCACTTGATCTCTAGAACTATAATATAATATGTTACCTATTAAACCAAGAAACTTGTGTTTTCTATGCTTAAGTAAAATTTTTATCTGGAGGCAATGGAATCTGGTTCATCCTGTGAAGACTTGCCAATGAAAATTGAGAAGTTGAAGTTGAGTGACAAAGAAGATGCTGCTACAGTGGATTATTCAGACGTAAGTCTCCGCCTATTGGACCTCAGAGATGTTGATGATTTTATGGAATGGTCTGCGGATGAAAACGTCAATAAGTTCTGTTCTGGTTTCACATTCAAATGTAAAGAAGATGCGATGAGATACATTGCTGATGTTGTTATACCACATCCATGGTTCCGAGCAATTTGCTTAAACGGCAAGCCAATTGGTTCTATTTCTGTATTGCCATTTCATGGAAGTAATAGGTGCAGGGGTGAAATTGGATATGAGTTATCATCAAAGTATTGGGGCAAAGGTATCGCTACCAAGGCGGTGAAGATGGCGGCCACCACCATATTCATCGAGTGGCCACACTTGGAGAGGCTTGAAGCTGTGGTGGATGTTGAAAATCCAGGATCACAGAGGGTGTTGGAGAAGGCTGGTTTTATAAAGGAAGGTGTTCTGAGGAAGTATTATCTTCTTAAGGGAAGACCAAGAGATATTGTTATGTTTAGTCTTTTATCCACTGATCCTCAAGTTACCTACTTTATGTAATAGGATGTGTTTAGTGGTTGTGTTTGATCAAGATGGAACACTATTTCTACTTTGTACCTATGCGAGGCTAGTCTGATAGGATTTTTGTATTAGACTGCTAGTGGTTAATATTATGTTCTCACTACTCTTTCATTTTTTATAGTGCCGGGTCTATTTACTGGTTATTGCTTTTGCTTTTCATCTATTTTTTGGTCTTTATGATGCTGTTATTATCCCTATGGTTTATGTTGATGGTACTGATATATTGTCTCTCTTTGTCTTCTTGAGCCGAGGGTCGTTCTGAATAGCCTCTCTACTCCCTCGGGATAGGAGTAAAGTCTACATACACACTACCCTCCCCAGACCCTACTAGTGAGATTTTACTAGACTCCTTGTGTTAAATGAGCAAGTTGATCGGTTGAAACATGCATCTTTATTTTCTTTTATTGATCAATTTTTGTTTGTTTGCGGATTATTTTCTGGCTACCCAGTTCAGGCGCATGCTTATGTTCTGAGGTTAGGTAATTTATAGATCAATCTCCCAAATTGAAAATTCAACTAATACGTACCGAATACAATACAAAATTGTATAATGTTAACACAATCCAAGAAAAAAAAAATAGGCAACTAAAGAATAAGAAATTCGATGACTAATAAAATCCCAGCAACAAAATGACTAGAGATACGAACTAAAATAGAAGAGCTAATTGAAAATCAATAAGTAAAATAAGCACATTCGAATATGGATCTATCAACAGAGCAATTCCAATATCTTAGTCGTAGTCTCAATTCTGAAATCTCAGGCCAGGGTGAATATTGAAGCATAGGAAGCAATGAAGAGAAGGAAGAATAAAAGAGGAGCTGCCATCTTAGTTGAAGTTGCATCATTGGAACCATCTTGGGATGGTACTGCGTTAGATCCACGTCCTGTCACACATTTGAGATGGTGTTAAGTTATGCATTTTGTGAAATGCAAACTTGATGTTCCTGAAAAATAATAGTACTAGAATTTGAAGGGAAAAGTACTGAACCTGGAGTATTTGGGGTTCCAGCAGGAGAGCTATTTGGTGAATCAGCTGTTCCAAATAACTGATGTCAGTGAAGAATCTAAATCCCAAAGTATAAGTAGGCTGAGAGCCTCTTGAATTTCTCTAAAGCATTCAGTCTATTTTTTCCACTTATTCGCAACTTGATGTTTATATCAGACCGACAAATGTAAGACATGTGTATTTTATTTACGCATTTATCACTTAATTATGATTAAGACGTGTATCCTCACTTTAGATTGTAACTGCTAAGGTTAAATTTCTTAATTTGGTGTAAACATGGGGTGCAGATAAATAAATATTTACCGGCTATATACCACACAGGTGATGAAGGTATGCAGCCATGTTTCTGCACTAGGTACGATCACGCCCACTACTTTTGGCTCGAACCCCATATATATAAAATTAAATGGTATAAACGAAATAAACAAAAATCCTAATAATCTATCATTAATTGAAGCTTAGGCGATTGATCAATTGATATATTGTGACTAGACTCGATTTGAATGTAACCTAGACCCACCTCTAAAGTGATGTGAAAACTCTAAATTCATAAGAGTAATCTATAGGCTTTCTTCCTAGGAACTTTTAATGTGAGATTTTAGAATGAATTTTGCTTCTTACCATTGCACTGGCTAAGAGGTGGAGTCTGAACTTTGCAAGCAGTAGGAAGTGCCAAAGCCTGAGTCTGGTTAATGTTTAACCCCAAGTTAGAGGCACCACCACTGAGGACCTGGCACAAGCATTCGGGTTTGTTCTTAACCACCGTGCTAAGCTGCGTGCAGCAACCTGAAGATGGCACAGAGGAGTTGCCAGTAATATAGTTCAAGCAAGGTGACATGCTGATCAACACATTCGTGCAGTCATCGCTCGATTGAGAAACAACTCCTGCCCAGATCATTGTGAACACAATCGCGAACAAACCCATTCTGCTCCCTAGATTTGCCATTGGACTTTAAATCACACTGAAATGAAGAGAAAATTGTTTCTGATTGAAGTATGTTTGATCACACAATCTTGGTAGAAGAAGAAAGGTTGTGCTTTTTTTTTTTTTTTTTTT